GAGGGCAAGCGGGGTCTCGGTAGTGAAAGGGATAAGAGCACGGTCCCCGGAAAGGACAAGTACGGGTTCGAGTCCCGTCCGAGACTGGAGTTTTGCCCACAAATCGCCATTCTTGTGAGGCTCATCGGAGTCTTTGAGCTTCAGACATAGAGGGATTTGGAAATACTCGACCTTCGTTTGACTTACCTTCTACGCGTTTTATAGGAAGATTTTGAGTTTAGTGGGTTTCACCATGAGAATGGTGGGGGTGAGGGGATGGGAATGCCAATTACATTTTTCATTGTGTACGTTGTAAAAGTAAGGAATTTTCCTGATCATCTAGAGTCACTCCAACCTTCCTGTCAGTGGTCACTGTATCACAAAATCCGCTGACTGCGAAATTTTTGCACTATTGAAATTGGAGAACAAAAATAAAAAACAATGTGTGAGTAAAATGCGTACATACCATACAAACAGCGGGTGTTGCGAAAACCCAACAAAACTTCCACCATCGATTTGGATAGTAGCCAATCATACTTTTCATATGTTCGTACCATCGATCGATACCTGAAGGAGGCGTGGCTATCAGTATGGTGTAGCAGAGGGGCGTGGTTCCCCAAAGCCCAGAGAGTACAAGCACTTACCAACACTCCATGATATAGCGATACATTCGAAAAATAGCAGCCATAATAAAGCCCAACCGGAAGCGGCGTAGAAGTCGAACAGTTGGAATACATAGAAACCACCCTTGAATATTGCAGAGTCAAATGTGTTGACAAATAAACACGAACGGGATGGGTTTATCGATTCTGTCTTAGGATGCGCCGCATACTCTAACCTGTTCCAGAATCGCGCTAGTATTTGAATGGGTATCTGAATTTTCAGGTTGCCTCAGAACAGGCCATTCGAAAAGACTGGAACGCCGTATTCTGGAAGTTGTCATGGGATTACTGTACAAGAACTTTATGCTTATAACACATCGGGGACCATCTCTTTGCTTATTTAGTCGCATATTGGACTGACTGTCTCCGCATCTCCGATACGTACGCCATCACGCACAGCTCCTTCCAACGCTTCGAAGTCAGAAACTCGATGGACCAAACGACTGCATATCGTGGAATGTCCAGGTATGTTATGCCTTTTATGCATAAAGTCCTTTTAGAGCATTTCCATGCAAGTTTCCGAAATTTTCCATCTCAAAAGCTCTACTTAACTGAATTTTCTCACCAGATACATTCGATATACCCTAATATTGCAGCCACATTACTTCATCCACTTTGCACTTTTCCCACTTCAAACATTACAATAGTCACAGCTGTTACACTTGGAATATATGATTGATTATCAATCATTCATCAGCTCGGGATTCATCAGCTTCTCAGCTGTCTTGAGTTATGCTGAGTTTATTGTTGGAAGATGAAGGTGTGTGACCGACATGAATGCCACCTTTCACATGTCAGTTGCTTGGTTTCAAAATTCACCTATGTACCTACTGCTCACTTTTTTTGCACTCTAAGCACACAAGAGATAAAGAGGAGGAAACAATGTTTATAGAAACCGAAAAGATCATTTTGTATCGTTCACAGAATGGTAACGGGGAGAATGCGTTTGCCTGCTACCGTACCTTCTTTCAGAAGCTTTGCAGATAAGCACTCATTCCACCTGCAGATACTCGTAGCCTGGTCCTTGACAATGTTTGCGGAAAAATATTAGGTGAAAAACGTTCGGGGCAGAGAGGCTGAGGCAAGGCATGAAAATAGAAAGCTTGCTCGTTTTTTTTTNAAAAAGGGTAGAATTTTGTGGCTTAGCTTTGGTATGACCATTCTTATAGGAATAGGAAATTTCTATTCGACACCGCTCTGGCTTGAGTGAGGATGTAGATAAATATGGGAACAAGCAATACATTTTCAGTACTGAAGGGCTTTTTCAGGAAATTTTTAGGAGTTATGTTATGTAGCTGTTATTGTTATTACTAGTTGGTTATGTGAGCTCCTATATTCCTATACCGGTCTTCCATCTTACCCGGATCACAACATCTTTCACTCCCTTAAATATTTAGAGGGCAGAAGCCGAAATGATCATCCAGACCAAAAGTCCTAAAAAAACTCACTCGGGTCACAGTGCTGAGGCCAATTATGTACGAAATGAGACAGATGACTCCGACAAAAAGTTCTCGTCCATATTTACTGGCTCGGAGCATTACTGGAAACTCGTCGATGATTGCTGTGAAGAAGCCTTCCATGGTGCAGAACTGAATTAGCAAAATTCGTGTGGCCCTCGCTATTATAAGTATACTAATGGAATTTTTCACTGTTCTTCTTAGGTTGAGCTATTTTCCCGAATAAGAAACATGTGAAATCTGGCCTGTGGGAGCACCTCATCTTCCTATTGATAATCTATACCAAAAAGTGTAAATTAAAAACACTTGTGGGAACGATAAGATCTGAGACCGATTACTCTTTACATCCAGACATGAATCCAGGAAATGAACAACAGCAATATCACAATGGCAGACTTGTCTTGAGTTGATTTAAGAGCAGGTTTTCAGGAAGAGACTCATTCAATTACCTGCGAATCAATTCCTAAGAAGAGGACCATGGAAAAAAACAGCAATGACCAAACATTTGTATATGGCAACTGAAGAATTCCCGATGGATAGGCCAAAAATAGCAATCCAGGTCCTGCTTGGGCAACCTGAAAGCAGCTGTTGAACAAATTTTCTCTACCACATATTTTTACCAATTTTTGAAATTTATACACCCTCATTTTTTATTGTGTGCCACTTTTAAACCTATTTCAAAAAATTCCCAATACATATCATGTAAATAAATCCTAAAGAAGGTGGAAAAGTAGTGAGAAAAGTAAGAAAATAGACTTTTGAACATCAAAATTCACCTCAGCGACACTTTTTTCCTGTTGGGTAGCCATGAAACCGATGAAGGAGAAGATTACAAAGCCGGCAAATACACTCGTACCACTGTTCACGAAACAAACGGTCAGCGCTTGTCTGTAATTTTTCTTAATGATTATTGTAAAGATGGCTCAGTGGCTGACTATTGGCTAAACCTCTACAGTACTGCCTGTCAGAACAGAATGAGCCAATAAGAGATCGAAGCTCCTCCCCTGTGTTTGAATATGGTCAATAGGTATCGATATCCAGGATTTCTTGTTATCGTGGCGGCAAAACATGGGAAAAGAAGATGTTATCCATTTTGAGAATTGTAGCCATCTCCTATCGTGCTTCTTTTCCTACCTTTACCCCTCCACTTCCTACTCCTTCCTCCTGGTCCAAGCCGCCTTTACTAGCAAAAAATTTCAACCCCGAAACGTATCTATTTACGTTTTCCCAAGTTAGCCGTATACGATCTCACTGCTGAGTAGTTCTCAATCGATTCCTTCACTACGGCAGGCCGCTAAATGGAATCGGGAATTCCAAACAGAGTAACACATTGCTTGGATGTGGGTGTTATCAGTTGTTGATACTTGAGGCTTTTACTTACTAGTTCAGCCAGTAATTATTACTTACTTGTAAACGTTGTTGTGAAACTTATTATAGCTTCCGAGAGCCACCAAGGCCCCAAGGCCAAGTCCGTAGGAGAAGAATACCTGTGTGACAGCATCTACCCATACCTGGAATGAGAAAAAACTTAGCAGCGATTTTCACAGTTATAACAACAATGAGGCTTTACCTTTGACTCGAGTAGTTTTGAGAAGTCTGGCTTTAAATAGAATTCCAATCCAAGAGAGGCTCCCGGTAAAGTGAGACCACGTACGAGTAAGAAGAACAGCATGATATAAGGGAAGGAGGCAGTAAGGTAGACTACCTGACAGTAAGACGAATTGTAAAACTTTCGCTATTCGTAAAAAAGAGGTTTCCATAAAGTAGTTGTCTCTAATAAACGAGCTTTGGTACCTCTAACCTTCCGGGTAGAACATTGAGGTAAATTTGGTTGAACGTTGGTTCCACAAACAATGTTTTCAAAAAAGTGAATGAATCACTGAAGAACTTAAGCCCACGAAGCTGCCCAGTTCCACTCTATTTTTTAAACTTTTGATTTGCTTTCGGTGAGAGGAAAGTCTAACAACTCAAGAACAATAGCAGCTGGACTATCACAACTCAACATAATCAGAAACAGCTTGTTCACTTTAGAGCAATCCCTGCTTCTCTTACAAACAGAGGGCCTAGTCCGCGTGCGGTTGCGGCGCCGTATGTTCAAAGGATCAGTGGGCGGCAGATGGATGGGGATTTTTGAGCAAGGTCCATTCGTTCATACATCAAAAAAATTTACAGTCCGTTTTCCTTGCCACAAATGTGAAAAAAAGAAGAAATCAGTTGAAATAAAAGTAAGTAATAGAGAAAACAAGAAGTTATTTAGAATAGCAGATAGAAAAGTGCTTCATCCCCCCCTTCGTAAAATTCGCCTAATTTTGAAAAGAGGAAGCTACTAGTTTTGAAGAGTGACTTCATCCTGATTAAGCTTTGCCTCCTCACCTTTCCTGTCCATCGAACTCCTTTGAAAATACATAAATAACAGACCACCCAAGCAATAAATAAGTACAATGCGAGATCATATCGTAGTCCACCTGGATGATCGATACCTTCCGAAATACCCAGTACTTTGTAGCTGAAATCCAAACAACATCGAATCCAAACAACTTTCTATCGGTAACTGAACAAGTGAAGAGAATTCCTCTCCTCAATCGATTATCTATTTTTGTGTCCAGTTTTTGACTAAATTCTTTGCACCTCATTTACAGGGCCCCTTCTGTCGATGAGCCCCTCCCAAGGCTAATTATGTCTACGATTGCTAACGAGAGAGAGGTTATTATAGACTGCCTAAAAACGCAAAAAGTGAATGAGTCAAAAGTGAAGAAAAAAGCAAAATGGATAAACGAATACCTATTCTTTTTTTGTTTGTTGAAAAGATATTTTGAAGAAGTTGCAATAGTAATCAATACTCACTTCCAGAACTCCTTCACAGGCGATTGAACACTGAGATCCTTTGCAGTACAGACCGTGAAATTCGCTTTAGGTCCAACAAAGAACTGTTTCTTGTACTCAAGTAAATGATCAGCAGTCAAAACCTATAGAAAAAGTCTTACATTCTCTTTACAATAGAACAATCGCACAGTTTTGTTAGTTACTATTCTGAGAGTACGTACACACTTGATATCACACTCGAGGATCAGCAAAATTTTTTGAAAGTCACGAGCGCATACTTCTCAGACGTTTAGTCTGTTTCTCTATCCTCATCTTCCTCACAGGGTAAGAGAGTAGACTGCTGAGACAACTAGCTAGAAAGTTTGGGAGTTTTATCGTGGGATTGCTTTTTGCCTCACGCTGTTCGTCGCGTTGACCTTTATTCCTCCACAATTAAATCTAACCTTGACATTGAAAAATTCAGCTATCGTTCGATTACTGTCGCATGGCAATTTTTCGTATTCTGATCGACATCTCGGAGTGTTCCATCTGAATAGTGAATCTCTTGTTCTACCTACAAGCAAACGAGAAAATGTGAGAATTTCTTAGTTCAACTCCATTGAGCCCGAATACTGATAAAAACTGTCACTGTTTGATTGAATGACTGCATTGAATTTCAGCTCCAGTTTGCTTCATGGATTTCACTTTCATCTGGGATCATTCCCACTTTTCACGATAACTGCTCCCTATCGACACTGTTGCGGATGAGTTTTAAGTCTCCCTTACAACATTTGCATAATGTCAGGACAGACGCCCAAGTGTCATCTTTGAGCCGCCGCAAAGAAAGCAGTTAACAGCAAGAAGCGATCTCGGAGAAATCCGTTTGCAGCTTCTCCTAGACAAGAATGACAGCGCACGGTGAAGCAGCTTCAGTGCGGCGGTCGCGAGGGAAACCCCTACCTTGCACCGGTCTGACTTGGAAGCACCGAAAACTTTTCAGACCGTCACGTCCCTTGATGGAAATGATTGCTGATATTGCCTTTTCTTTTAATTATTTTTATTACTAGAGAAAGTTTCTATTTATAATGAATACGTACTCGTTGTTGCAACTTCTCCATGGCACGTTCACATCAAGACGAATTGAATTCCAGAGATAGCAAAGTGCCCAACTGAGTACCACTATATAGTAGATATTCAACCAGAACGCCATCACAGCTGCAGCAATACCTACTCCTGAAATAGCGTACTTATAGGGTCATCGAATAGGCAACTCAACACACTTATTTACTTGTTTATTTGGTGTTGAACTGTGCTTCTCCAATAAAAAGTTCCCTGTTCAACCAAAGCTATGTAGCTCGGAAGTGCTAGAGAACATTTCAAAACACCAGGTAAGCCAATATTAGAGTTAGAAACCTCGAATATCTTCTTTTGACCTGAGCTGACAGCTATCCCACTCTTCACCATCATTGACCCAGTACTGCTTTTCGCAGGCACTATTGGTGCATTCTCATTTGGGCATTGAAAGTTCCAAAAAAAATCCACTCGTAGGACGGTTATACTTCCGCTGTTATGCTTGCGACTTGGTGCATATGGCTACTTTTTGTGTGGGATCCTCGACATTATCAGATTTCGCTTCCCTAGTTTCCAGAACGTTTTTTGAAATCTCTTGGATTCACTATGGCAGCGATCCAAAGTAAAAACGATGAAATGTGGTTCTCATTCGCCCTTAGTCGACAAAAAGCTGCATAAATCGTGAGTGTAACTTAAAACAATAAAATCAACTGGCACGAAATTAGAGAACGTCCACTGGGTGCCCGGAGGTTGTACGACAAGTCCCAAGCTTTTAGAGGAGCTACATCTTGAAAAAAATTGGTTTCTCGTGAGTACTTCAGAACAAGGTCGTACTTACCTTTGAAGATAGGACAAATTTTGAACATTCCAAGACCTCCAACAGACAATAGTTGACCCCATGTAGTTTCAAGAATAAACAATGGCGCACCACAAAATACCAATGAGATCACATATGGAATAAGAAATGCTCCTGAAATAGTTGAGTACCAGTGTAATAGTAAATAAAGTTGCTCTATGTTGTCCAATAAATAAGCAGTGCATAGGTGAGGGTGGTTTAGTGACAAGTGGCGCACACTACTGCATGCAATCGGGGGATAGAGTCCCGGATCGGAACTCAGCCGAGTCACGGATCTTTACCTAGACTTTCGTTCAACCGAGGGGCGTTTACTGGTAAAAGACTAGTATGGAAGGCTAAAAACACAGGATTATATNATATATTGGTTGGCCAGGAACTCCCCTAGATTTTCAATGAAATTCGAACGCGGATAGCATCCGAAAAACGCGACCATCTAAGTAGTCCAGAAATCTCTGAGAGTCTGGAATCTGGAAGGATTCCTGTCAGCGCCCCAACTTAAGAGCTGATCGACGCCAAATACATCATCAAATTCCATTTCCCGTTCCGTATAGGTTCACTGAGATGTGGGTTTCGATATTCTGGACAGCCTGACCAAATGTCCCGTGGTTTCTTCAGCTGATCTAGTTGTCTACGGGTACGTCAGCTGCGATTTTTTTTTTGCTTAACGTTTTGACATATGACACCCATGTAATCCGTTTGTGCCATCTCGAACTCTTCTTTTTTTATTAGCTGCCGATCGCCAATTGAATGCCCAACCGACCCAGCGATGAAGACAGCGTGTGGGATGCTTCACTTACTGAGTGATTGACAGCACCTACACAATAAAATTAAGCAGCTAGCCTATCTGTCCGGTTCCTCTTGCTTCAATGCAAGTAGCTGGTCGTCCATGACTCGCAGTACGAGACAAAGTCATTAGGTCCGGTTTCCCATTTTGATAAAGGTTACCCCGCACCCTTAGGGATTTTTTTCGGTACTTTACGCAGAATTCCTCATGGTCTGACTGTTCTGCTGATTCAGTGACTCCTTCGCTTCCTCTCATTTGACCTCCTCCATTAACAATCCTCCATCTTTAACCACCCGTCCTATGTTACAATAGCGTAGGCTAAAGCAGTTTTCATGAAAGTTCCGTGGGAACCCTACTGTCATGCCTTTATTGTTCTACATGATAATGCTCCTTCAAGAAGAAGGCAGCTACTGATGCCTCGCCATTCTGGGAAACAAAATCCTTTCTTCAGCCCTATCTTTCTTCTACCCTTGGAATTTGCCCATGGACATCGTTCAGCACATCGATCAATGAATCAGCAATTCAATGAATCAAATGGGTCAGATAATTTATTGAAACTTCACATGCCTCGTGTCGGCTTTCTGTTTCTCTGGCACTCTTCAATGAAGTATCGTGCGAGCCGTTACAACGAGCAGCCTTTTCTCGGTCTTACACTCTGAGAACAGCCGACGTCCGACTGCCAGCAGGTTAGGGTCACGCCTTTAGCAGGATTCAGACAAATGATGCTTATTTCTCTCCATCCTTGTAAATTTATCTGGAGCCCGGATAGGTGAGAGTAGCTGCGTGAAAAGGCATAGTAAAGATCGTGTCTTAGGCAATCTGTAAGAAAGCGGCACACCGTAGAAAAGTCTTCAAGTCTTAGGCACGGAGCTTTTTGTCGAAACCAACAAGAAGCAGCAGCAGAAGAAGTAGAGCATAGAATGACAAACTCAGCGTTTTTTTTTTCGTAGGACCTACATAGCTATCAAACATTTTGACGATTACAAGTAGGAGTAAGCAGAGGAGAGAGCATCGGCTGACTCGAAAAATCAACTCAGAGGTGAAGGTGCTGCTTGGAACAGGCACTTTCCAGAATCTAAAAAGTCTTTCACTGTCCAGCCTATTGAATTTGTCTCGCATCCATCTGAGGGCATTCCCATGGTCTTTCTACGGAGGCTATAGTGGCTGCGAGATCAATCTCCTCATATAAAAGCCGATCAGAGCTCGAATTTCGATTTCTATAAAAACGGATCCCGTGAAAACTACGTTTTTACGCTAACGGCCTGCTTCTTTTTGGAGTCATCATGTTTTCAAAGCTCAGAAATTTCTTCTTCGTACTCATGGTCCATTTAGGGGAAGCGTTTCTGCGCACCAGCCTTTCTCGCCACCTCACCCTGGGCAGCAGTCACAATATTGTGGGCTCATCCTTACGCAATATGAGTAGCTCCGAGAAAACAACAACGACCATCTGTCGCTGCCGAATAACTGGCAATAAGCCAAGAAAGCCTCTTTGATAGCATGCGATCAGAGAAAAATATCGTCGTACGATGGCGAAACCCTCTTTTATAGCGGACAGATTAGCCGTGGAACAAACTTAAAAAAGGTAGAGGCATGTGTGCTTTTGATAATCAAATGGGTAAGCATAATGTCCGCAGAGCACGTTTCCAGGTTCGATTCCCTGCAGAACCGAAATCGTTTTCATGGACAATATGGTAGTCCTTGCCGACGTATCGAGGTGAAGAAACGGACACATCACGCCGTTAGCAAGACCCTTCGCCAGAAAAAAATTTCAAAGCCCATCTAGTACGGCCAAATTCTGTCCCCATATTGCTTTCATTCTTACCTCCACCATTCTGGTAACAAAGATACGGAAATCGCCAAACATTTCCGAGTCCAATTGCATAGCCAATACAACTCATAATAAAATCAGCCCATGAACTCCATTGCTCACGCGGTGGTGTTGTCCGCGTCTCCATTCTGGTACGCCTAGAAATCGATTCACAACAAAAAAAAAACAAAAACAAAGAGAATAAACAGAAGAGTCCGATGAACTATTTCTTGATGGGCTGTTTCCTTGTAAGTTTGAGAAGTTTCTGCAAAAAGTATTCTGGAGGAATCACTGAAGAAACAAAAATGGAACCAATCATACTCATGGAATCAACAAAATGGAGGAATTGGAGGAGAACTTAAGATTTTCGAAAATAAGCCCAAAATGTGCTTTATATAAAAGGAAATGAGTAACTGAGTAATCATTGATTGAAGAACTAACTATTAAGGCCTTCAAAATTGTAATCGCCAGCACTTTGAAAGTCCGAAAATGGATTATTGCTTGGAGTTTGAATTTCAACGGGAATTCTGTTTATTCAATTGTTTACTTCATGCACGTAGAGCGGCAGAAGCCTATGTCTCGGGAAAGACTCCGAAAATTTTCAACATTCTCTAAGAACAATTTGGTTTCGAGACTATCCTTGAGGCTAGTGAGAATTTTCAGAGAGCTTCGGAATTATTCAAAACTGAGGGTAGGATATCGGGAAAGGTTCACGAAGGCATAACCCCTGATGCGAGCTCCAGAGAGCCTAACAAACTGAATTGAAGACAGATGCAGATAGAAAACAATACAGTAACTGAAATTTTCGATAGCTCAGGCTGCCATCAATCGATATCAATCGATACGCGTGAAGTCGCTTACCGGAGATTACTTTAAAAGATCCTAATGGTCGACAGAGGTCAGTTTAATGAGGTATTTTCGCTCAAGACGATGATGGGGTGGAAGGGGGTGTAGGAAATGCAGTTGCAGCTGGCAGAACTATCGTGCATGCCACGTGGATCGGATCCCAGGTCAGTTCTGCCTTGTCAATGAAACCATTTGTTATCACACTTATCTGGGTGGGTAAAGTAAAGAACTGAGAGTATGATATATCGGCTGTGACCCCAAAGACCCTCGTCATAGTGGAGTGAAACAATTCAAATGCCACTATGACTCCAAAAGTTAGTCATTTTAACATCACCTTCATAGGTTGACGAAATTTCACCTCCTTTAGACGGGAAACCGTCATCATAGAACTTTGCTCTCGCTAACAGTTTCCTGGAAGTTGGAAACCCAGTCTCGCAATGGTGGTGGTGACTTTGGCCCCCACTTCTTGTTCATATAGCTCATCATATCAAGCAAGATGTGAACAAAATTATTGGCATCGATTGATTCTTTTAGAAGCCATGCTTTAATGTCCCTCGAAAATCGTAGTAGCCCTTGAAATTGTATTTGGCTTACAAAGTGGATTATTGAGGCTGCATACACCAAGATCCTGTTCCCACTTTTCATCCCTCCCTCTCCTCCCTCGCACCGAACAGATCCCACTCTGACTGATCACCTCGAAAGTGATAGGAGGAACACCCGCACCAGAAAGTTAATTTATTAGAGATCAGCTAGTAGTCGAATTTGCCATTATTCAGCATATTTGGTAGCACCTTCAAATGACTATTCCTTGGCTACCCTCCCCTCAAAAGCTGAATGTGCTGGCCGTTTTTAGGCCGGACACTGAGGAAGTTTTTTCCTGGATTTTTTATATCGAGAACTACTTTTGCTTGCACTTTTTGAAAGTTCGTTCGTTACAGGTCTTGGGTTGCTAGCTTGGTCAGCTTTCATCTGAGATGATCATCGATTGCCGTCGATCTCAGTGCAGGGTCCCTGAACAAGGCTCAAATTTCAGGAAAGGTGAACAAGCTTATTGCTGTGACATGTCACAGCCCTCGTCATTTTTTCGGTCAAGAAACATATTCAGATCGGGAAGGTGAAATATAATTTTTTCGCTGCTGGACCTGAACTCGTACAAGGTATCCGGGATTACCTCAGACACCCTCTGGGAAGCATTCCAATCGTGCTTGGCCATTAAAAAAAAGATTGACGAATGTTTGTAAGTAGCTTTCACGATCGATCACAACAAACATCACGATATGATGAGTGTAGCAATGGGAACGGGGCATCGTGCTGAGTACATCTGGACATCTTATCTTTTGAAAAAGTACTCCTGTCAAGTTGGCCACCTGACTTGAAAACTCCAAGACATCTGAATCAGAACGAAATGATTTCCTAGAGCCCCTATATTTCCTTGGAATAAAGAACTTCACGGATCTTATTCAAATCCTTAGGACGAAATGATTTCCCAGAGCCTCTACATTTCCTTGGATTAAGGAACTTCATAGCTCTTAGCCAAATCCTTCTCTTCTGGGATGCAATAACATTAACCCACTGAGTTTTCCTTAACACTATCACTCCACATCTACACAACTTTCAAAAGCTCCCATTTGGACTGATTCATGAATGTTCGGAAAATTCATACAGCCTTTCCCATTGCAATTGTTCCCTTCCCCTCCCATCCCTTTTTTTCCACAATTCACTCTGATTTAAAGCCTACTTCAGCTCTACGCTGTCCCAAGTAATATAAAAAATGGTCTCAGAAACACCAAGGCTATTCATCCACTGATATTTCAGATACCTTTTCTGGGTTTCTGCAATAATCTACAATATTCTAATGTTTTCTCGAATAGTCAAAGAAATCTCCTAAATCATGTAGAAGAGAAGGTAATTCATCATGCATATGGTACTGGAGTTATGGGTAGCACAACGGTGACAAGTAATGCCTTGCTTCTTCACAATCTTCCGGGCTCAAATGGCCTCCCATACCGCCATGTCCCTCCGCTTTCCTTGGAGTAATTATCGCCATTGAAAAAGTTTTGTTACCGTCCAAAATGCCCTTTTTCATTTTGAAACAATTCAGGCGGGTGGCCCATTCCCGAGGAATTTCACGAGGATTTCAAAAGGCTTGTCAGGCTCGTCTTTGGCAGACACCATGGGCATGTGAAAGTCATGGCTCAAATAAAAAAATCCAAATTAATCAGAAGCCTTTCGGATGGGCGAGGGTTTAAGGAGGCCAAATAATTATATTTGACAGAAATTAATCAAGTGTAAAAGTGCAAATCATAAAAATAGCGACTGTTTTTCCATAGATGAACCGTTGATGGATCAAATTACAACGAAAAATCGATAACAGCAGTTATCAGTTTCTAATTTGGGATCCTAAGGGGAAAGTGTAGGAGAATCCAGTTTACCTTAGCCTAAGAAGGGTAGAAAATCAATGGTAATGAGTGATAGTTGCTGATTAAGTTGTTCCTTGCTAACGAGTTTAGCTATGAAGCCATATGGTTGAAATTACCAAAATCACTCAAAAATTCAGTTAGGAAGCTTCAAAAAAATGTAAATTGTTGTAAACATATGAAATAAAATTGAGTACAACCGAAACTAAAGGTTAAGAGTTCATAAACGTTTGGCACGAAGTCCGCTGGGCGCCTGCCCAACTCCGCCCCGCCCATTCGCTTGTCTCTCGACCTCCAGACCTCCTCCTCCACACTGCCATCCTCATGCTGTTGTCCGGCTACTGATGTGGGGTAGAAGAAACAACAAGAAGGAAATTTACTGATCCGATTGGGTAACTTTGGAAATGAGTATTCAGAGAATGGGGAGTCCACTGTTGGCATGACTGGGAATGGGCTGAATCAAAACCAATAGAATCTTGTTCGTGACCACTCCTAGCCACATTCGCGGGAACTCTAAGAGAAATACCCTCTGGATTTCAAAGTAATAGTTGGAAAAGAGACGTCACTTTCTCTGAATCTGTTTGGCAACTTTAGCCCCACTTCTTTGGCGAGAAAGGCACTGAGCCAAAAAGTGCCTTTCTTAGAGTTTGAGCCTGAAAATAGAGCCTATGACTGAAAATCGTCATATGACTAAAAACCGTAGAGAGCAAACTAGCTGTCGTTCTTAGGAAAATCATTCGGTTCGGGGTCGCTCGTCCCCTTAGGCTTTGCAGAGGTTTTTCTTGAAGCTTTCACCCCCTCCTCTGCCGTTTTCTAGCACAGGAATATCCTACAACGTCCAACTAGCAATCCCTCCCTGCATGTTTGGAGCAAGTCTAGGATAGTGGGTGAAAGATTTATGTTTGTAGCACATACCAGAGAAATAACTCGATTACTCGACTAAAAAATACTCATGATGTGCCATGGACCGAAAACGAAATCTTAAAAAAACGAATGAATGGCCATGCGGGAGTCGCAACCCACTCTCAGTTCTCAGTTTTTCCGAAAGACGTTGAAGTCAATTTCCCCACAACGGATGGCCGTCGATTGCAAAGCCGCTACGCCTCAGGCGAAGACTTGTACTCACAACGTGTGAAAGTAAAGACCTTCAGCCACAACATCAAAGGAATCATTTCATTCTTTATTTATACGATAGAATTCACTGAAATTTCTCAGACTGCAGTTATGGCAAGGTCGTTGGAGCTTCTCAATCTCGCAAGGATCATAGAGACTCGTCCAGCGGGGTGTGAACAATGTTCTTCATGAGTCGAGAAGAGTTCAACCCCGCCATTGCCTTCTGTAGAATACGCCACGTAAACAGTTTCATTTCAGCATTGTGAAGGCACATGAAGATGTACTTTTAGCGAACCTGCAGGAATAGTAGGGTTGTACGAAAGTCCAAATCGCTCCAGCAGAGGAGGCTGTTATCGTTAGAATGATCCCAGATAGAGATCTATATACTATCTATTCTTGAAAAGTTAACAAAACGTTGATAGTGCAGTATGGTATCTGTTCCCAGCTGTTTCTCCTAGCTTCATCGAAAACTTCCAAACCTTAATGAATTCATCTAGAGACTGGTGAGACTGCAGAGGTGGGATCCACCCGTCAGGGATAAAAATTTTCCTAGACTTTATAGACCGCTGAAAAAATAGCTTTGTGAACCTGATACGACACTCAAGCCCACTAAATATTATGTCAGTGTCTCAACAGAACAAAAAGCAGGAGTTTTCAAAGGTATAAGACCTCTCCCGTACTTCCAGTTTACTGCAAAAATTTTGGTAGTCAAGCCTATATAAGCCATACCGCTTTCTCGCCAGTGATTAATGAGGAACTCAAGCAAAAATTA